ATAATAACCACGCCCACCTCCCATACAAAGGTTATGTTGAAAATCACTAAAAGTGCATTAACCGACTAACAAAAAACGTCAGAAACACTAAATTTTACGAAAGAAATTTCAGAAGGAAGTTGCATCCAGACTTTTTTTTTAAATTGAAAATAGGCGTGGCGTCGCCCACTTATGGACCAAAAACCAAATGAAATTCAGTATATAATATTTCCTTAACACMCTGATGACATGTACGAAATAAGGGTGAAATCGGTTCACAACCACGTCTGAAATCTCGATTATCACTTTATCATGCGAGAGTATAAAATGTTCGGTGACACCCGAACTTAGCCCTTCCTTACTTTTTATTATTACAAACATACACTATTAATAAAGCAATTAATTTAAAAAAAGTCCTTCGTTSAAATCTTAAAGAATTGTATCTCAAAGACTTGTGTAAAATTTCATGAAGATCGGTTGAGTAGTTCTCGAGAAATCTTGCCAACCGACTTCAAAACACGCAGCTTCGAGATAAACGTATTTAAAGACGTCACACCTAGCCTAGCTTGCCTCGAGCGCACAATGTATCTCCGAAATTATAACTCGGAACAACTTGAAAATTTAGGACACTATTCTAGAGGTGTTGTAAAATTTAATAAGACAATATTTGAAACCCGTAACTACTTAAAATGTTTACCCTTCTGCACAAAAGCCAAGGAACGTACAGAGCAATCGGCGAAGGCCATTCTTTAGGCCGTCATGGAAACTACAAGCCTCTCACGTATCCTTCGTCCTAGYGTGGCCAAGTTTACCATTGCTGCATTAAATAATTAAGTTGATATCTCGGTCACTTGTGTAGTTAAGCTTTCTTATTTTTAACTKTTATTACTTTATTCAATTTTTAACATTAAGTTACATATTTATCAATAACATATAGTTAATCGAAACCGTTTTCCCGTGCAGGATTACACAACATTCTTCGCCAAGAACGCGCTGAATAGCTACTACCCCAGCTACAAGATACCACCAGGCACACAACACATGTGCGCCTAAAAGTTATGAACACCAGATTGCTGAAYCCCCAAAACAAATAAATGAAACAATTTCACAAAAAAAAATATAAAAAAAAAAAATWAATAAAAAACAAAAACACATTGGAAAGGACGAAAAAATGTAATTAACTGTACATTATAACGAAAAGAGACATCAACTAATCACGAACTAACCAAACGGAGCATTGAAGCAGAAAAAAATATACTACGTCAAATTTACACTAACGAATTTTGTTCTCAAATCTGTACATGGATAATCGAGATGTGTGGGGTTAGGGTAGCCCTTTACCCAAAAAACGAAGTGCTTGGGAATGTGTGAGTCTACGAGTTCGTCGGCTGTTCGTTTGTGCTCAACGAAGCGGGGGTACGTTAAAAACTGCAAAATGATACACGGTATTCTACAGCTACAACAACTACGCGTGCCACTGGCCTTTGAACACGCCCGCAACAGCGAGAACCCAGCGGCCAACGCATTCAAAAATCGATGTTCTTTACATACACATAGCAAATGGGCGTTTGTGTGTATGTAATAATTTTCTGTTAAATTAGAATTCTTTAATTTCGTTTTACAATGAATTCGACTGGCACCATCCGCACATGTACTGCGTGTGTGGAATGGGCCAAGAGAGCATTGATTTATTTGGAAAAAAATTAATTTTTAGTTGTAAGTGAAGAAACGACGCCCACTCGATGTAAATTAGTTTTGCATACATAAATACTTGGAAACCTGCCTAAGATGAACTCCATCTTAGCGCGTTGGCAAAGAACTACAAATGAGTTTTCAAACTAAATCAAATGAAAATACAAAACTGAAAACTGAAAACTGCAAACTAGCAAACTACAAAAATTCTGATGCGAACTACGGCATATTGATAATGGTTAAACGATTTTGACAAAACGGAAAAATTTTAACTTTAATTTAAAAAAAATGCTWCTTCGAAAGCAAAGAAGTTGTAATTTATTTTAATTGATAATATGTTTATTAATTTAGTTGCAYAAACTTGCAACATGCAGATTTTTAATTTTGTTTCATTTAAAAATGTTATTGCATAGAAAATAC